AGATCAGGCACTTTGAGACTATGCCTAATATTACAGATTTATTAGCGGATTCTGTGGCTGATGAGGCTGAAACCAATCTGAGCCTGTTTCCTTATCTGTAAAGTGGGAGCAATCATACTTAACATCCTAAGGTTATTTTGAGGATTGCATTCTAGGACACGCCTAGAATACAGTCTACACTCAATGTAGATATATTTTGATATTTCCAAATTCAGGTGCTGAACCAAGGTGTGTCCTTGGGATGAACAGATAATCCAACGTTCCAGTAACGTACAGAATAGGATGGACAGAGAAAAAATAAGCTCCCTTTCCACCCCACCATCTTTCTGAAACACACCTTGACCCCTTTTGCCATCTCCTTGTCCCATCTTCTCTCCAGGCACCTGATGTGTTCTCTTTTGCCAGCCACAACACGAGGCACTTGGGACTCAACAGGAATTCTCTCTACTTCCCTCCCTGATACATTTATACCCTGAACTACCCAAAGTATTCTTCACAAGTCAAAAACGAAACCAAACAAAAAAAGGTTTCAGAAAATAGTCTTTTCACATCATGGTCTATTTCCCAATCCTTTGAGGATTTTTTTCCACAACCTTTTCTTAAAGCACATGTCACAAAGCAGGGCTGGGAGGAGGCATGATTTGGCAACGGTTGGAGAACTGAATGGAACCAGATCCAAGGCTGCCTGTGCAAAACCCGAGAAGGGCAAGTTTGTTCACCTGATCAGATGCTCCTGGGTTCCCTAAGTACTGTCTTTGAAGGTTGAAATAATCAAGGGCATCTCCAGGAACAACAACTAGATTCTCTAAAGTTACTTGGGAGTGAGCCTAGGGAAGGGATTGCCTGTCAGTTTGTTTGTTTGAGCATGGAATCAGATAAATTTTTATCTCCTGACAAAAACTTTATTTATCATTTCCAGTTTTTTCATGTAGTCTATGTTTGCATTTCATGGGTCCTCAGCTATCTTTTGTATTAGGGAACTGAAGTTCTAGACCATACACTACTTATGGGAAGAGACTGTACTTTCTATTCCCTTTGCAGCTCCCCAATCCCAAATTGTCCTTAAAAGGAGAGTGGCTACTCAGTCAGGCTCCATCAGCTAATCAGTGTCCTGTGTTCATCCCTGGCTCATGAGAAATATAACAATATTATCGCAGTGATCACTGCCAGCTTTCAACTTTGGTTTGAGGTTTTAAACTATATCCCTTATCAACTCTTCCCAGGGAACAGGTAGGTCCCTGAAAAAAAGCTTCTCTTCTCCAGGACTCTGAAGCAGGAGGTTTTGGGGAGCTTAAAGGAAAACCACATTCAGAGAGGGATGCGTGGGTCTGTATAGGGCAAAAGGCAAAGATAGCCAGGTCAGTTCTCTTAGGTTCTCTGGCTCTGATCCCAGAGGTACTCAGGGGAGCACTCCTGTGAGAAACCTAGGAACGAGTTAGCCTGGAAAGGGGGACCAAGCTAGGAACTGGACCAGGAAGTCTCGGGTTCTAGACCTGACAACCTGACAATCTTATACAGATGACTACCGCCCCTTTGGCATTTCATTTTCTCTTAATTTTCCCATCTCCCTTCCCCTCCCGCCAAACCTTGGTGTAGTTCTATAAGTTCTGGCTTTCTAAGACCCTTCTGGGCAGGCACCTTTAGCTGATACTATACTGAGTACTTCCGGGCACAGAAAGAGTGTGGGTGGGGGAAGAGGAGGAGTTTAAACAGGAAATACGCCCTTTGATGGCTTTACAGAAATCACATACATGTCCGTATCAGCACTGTAAAAGTGAGCAGAATACATCCCACAGCCCTAACCCCAGATATATATTTTTTTAATAAGGGGCCAAGAACTCCAACACCCAAATCCCACTTGGGCTCCATTATCCTCCCTAGAACTGAGATAATTTTTTTTAGAAAAACAGTGCCCTCTTTACATAAATATCATCCCATCAATAACCAGAATGGGTTTTCCATGTGTTAATATCATTATCACCATTTAAATTTTAACATAAACTTTACATTATATACAATTTTATTTGGATAATACACTTACTTGTGAATTGTAGTAACCAAGCATGTATATTATATACATGTGTACATGAGCATTTATATTCACAGGATAAGTGCATTTGATCATCTCTGATCTCTACCAAGTGGCAAGCTGACCTCCTCTGATACAATAAGATATGAACAAAGAATATTGTAAAGGGATTGAATGGAAAAGGGCAACTGCATATTGGGAGAACTTTTCAAGTACAGACCCCACGTAACCTCTCATTAAGCACTTGCAACCCTGTTTACCAAGAGAAGATTGGGTATCCAGAAAGGTCTAGTTTTATCTCAAGTGAAAATAAACACTGCTTTTCAAATGAAAATTGCCTTTAAGTCGTATTAAATACCAACCACTGAGTTTAGCTCTCACCTGTTCAGTTTTGGTTTTTGTTGGTGTGGGTCTTTCCCTTGAAGTCCAATTATGTCTACTCTAGCTGTGCTTAATACAAACAGGCTCTATTTCAGAAACAACTCATGTCCCCCTTTTAAGAATTCATACACAACAGTTACGCACAAAGAAACAGTACAGGGTTTGCATAAAGTTAATGAATATATTCAGCTCTTCTGAAAGATATTTAGGTTTCTCAACTTAGTATTTATTTAGGTCTTAAACCGCAAGGGATTTCAGTGCAAGCTATTTATTTATATGACAACTGATTATTAAGGCTGCACTTTTTAAGTTTAAAGGAGATAAATTTTTAATCACCATTTAACTAACACCAACTTTTTTTCTTTTTCATTAGCAATTCCATCTGCAAAGAATTCGGGGCATTTGTCATTTCCTGAGAAGGATGCAGAATATTAAACACACATCAGTGGTAGCCATATGCAGATGCAGAATATTACCACTGCACATCAGCGGTAGACATATCAAATAGAATCAACAATGTACGACTGCGTGGCTGCCGCGGATCCTTTGACTAATTAACTGCCTTGGCTAGAGTCCCATTTAAGTGAAACTATTTCATTTGTAAACAAGGTGTAATTTTCTTTTTTCTCCCCTGAAAATAGGCGTGAATTGATTTGACTGATTTTGCTGCAATGGGTGAATTTGAATGCTTTCATCAGAGAACCTATGTATGAACACTTCTCAGGCACCTTATGAAACAGGGAAGAGAAAACCGGCTATAAGCCATGAGACAGTGCTGGCTACAAAAATGCAGTGAGATTTGCAAAGGACACAGACTAATGAGTAGGGTGATTATAATCCTGCACCTCTCACGGAAGCCTCACTGGCAGAAAAGTAGACCCACTGGTGACCTGCCCTCTCAGAGCATTAAAACTAGAGGTGGCCTAAGAACTTGCAGGTGTAAGGATAATGGAAACAATTTTCCAAAAACCCAAAGGTTTCCCAGAGTAGAATTCGCATCCTAGAAGACTCTCCTCATACACAGAATATTTTAAGTTGGTTGCATGTGCATACTGTTACCTATCTGAGGACTAGTTGGGTCCTTCTCAAGGGGAGAAAACCATTTGGAGTTAATGCAATATTACGGATGCCGGTTCCGACTTGAGTCAGAGGAAACTCCAGCACACATTTGGGTTCAGAGATTCTGGATCCTTGGCATCAACAAATCTAAGGACTCAGAGCCTAGACGTGTCAGAGGAACCCTCTGTAACGAACCCATAGTTCAGGGCCTCCTATGTAATTCTTATCGCCTCCTGTACTGTAGGTGTGATTTACTGTTGGATGTTATATTCCTGCTACTCTTTCTCCAAAGAACTGAAATGACTTGGATTACCTCTGAATAGCTCAACATCACTACCTTTCACTTGGAAAGTGACCGTCCCATCAATGGTCGATTGTCTGAAGTTTGGGATCATCACTATTAAGAGTCAGTGAATTTGTGGAGGAAGGAAATGGTATTTATTACATAGCATCCAATCCTAGTTATTTTTTTTAAAACACTTTAGGCATTAAAGGAAGTGTATACTTTTTCCCACTACATTACTGTCGGTTCTTCCCAAAGCCATGTTTTTAGTCTCTATACCCAGGGAGGCACGGGGCTCATAGCAGAACGAATGCTGGTATTAGAAGAAGGGTTTTTGCTCTATGGGGTCATTCCAAGTGTAATTCTCACCCTCCCTGGAGATCTCTGCCGTATTTGGCAGCTCCCTGGTTTGGAGGACCCTGGAGGAAGACAGACAGCCTCTTTAGGCTGGCGATGTACCGCTCTTCTGTATTCTGGGGAGACGTTTCAATTCATTTCACGTCAAGACATGCCAGTCTTGTGAGGAAATGGAGGTGATCCTGGCTGGGGCTGTATAGGTCTAGAATGCAGTGGAAGGGCAAAGGCAGTAAATTCTAAAAAATGCTATGGTCACAGGTGTGTCTAAGATTAGAAATTGGGGGGACTATTCCGGGTCTTTCAATCTGGGCTTCTCCATTCTCTTGAGGCAGAAAAGGTGGAACGTCCAAGAAATAAAACGCAACATTCGAGTGCGCTCCTCCTCAGCACCTGGTTGGCCCCTTCTGCCTCTCGACCTCAAAAACTTTCTCACCCACTGCCTCCCTCTGCCTCTCTACCACTGACCCTGAACTTTACCGCAACCACTTTTCATCATTAGAGGAATATTGTAGGTCAGGTGCACTTTCTCAAAGAGGGAGCCACTCAGTGAATCCTCAAGCTCTAAGAGAATTATTCCTGGCACCTGCCCACTCATGGGAAAGCACTGCCTACGAAACAGAACACAGCATGACTAAAAGAAACAGGCTAACTTTTCAACCTGCCATTCTGTCCCCTCCTCTGGGAACCCGAGCAAAACGCAGGAGGAAACCAGGAAGTGGTCAGGCTCGTTTACATTAGCCTAGGGCTTCTGTAACATGACACCACAACAGACCCAGGTGCCCTGCAAAATGAGTGGCTACTTAGCCCAACCTTTTCAGGGATATTCATGTATTTAAAACACACAATTATTGGATTAGAACGATATAAAGTGTTCAATTAATATGGCTGTGGGTTTCATCATATTTAATTTTTAAACTAGAAAATTCTTGTCTGATGAAGTATCATAACAACTGCCTTAATTCTGGGGGGCCACACTGCATGTACCAGGCACTGTGCTAAGAGCTTCTCACGCATAAAGATTCTCTACCCTTCCCCCAAGGTTTACAAAATGAGTATCACCTCATATCATTTATGCACAGGTTTGAGTAGAGTGAGAATGGAGGTGACTCGGAAATGACAAATGCTTCGAGGAATTTTTCATCTCCCGTTGGTGCTAGTGAGGCAGTTTGCCTCCAACAGAGTGACTATTCCAGAAGAGAGAAATCACTTGTCCCACTAAAGTTTATCCACAATTTGGAGGCTGCTCAGGGTAGATGCATGAGTGTCTCTCATGTTTTGAAGGCTTTTGATTTAAGGAAGTGGGGCTGGAGACGAGTGTCCAGCTGAATTTCAGGACGTTAAGGAAGATAACCCTACAGCCATGCTGGCCTTCAGCAGACGGATGGCCTTTTACTTCTTAAGGATCGCAGTACACATATGGCTGCTGGCACATGCCACCACATTCACCACACTGGGAAGAGCAACACGCAATGAAACGCCACCACGGCGATTCGGGGACTGAACGAGTGATGGTTACTCTGCGGGGGAAGGGTAACAGATACTATACAACCCTGAGTCATCACCAGAAGGGGGAAATGCAAACTTACGTACACAGGAGTCTTCGGGATAAACTACAACGGCCGCTGTGTCATAGACAGAAGGTCCACACTTACACGATATTGAAGACACAAATGTGTGAGTTTATGCAGCTCTGAACAAGACCATCGAAGCCAAGGGTGAGAGAGTGTCTGTGAAATACACAAATCGACATCCAAAGGGATTCCGGCAGCTCTCTGCCTGAGGGCCCTTCTGGCCTTTTACTCCAGATGTGTCTTGGAAATGGACTACCGTGAAGCTAGCAGAGTGACCACAAACACACTGATTTGCTACTCCTTGGGGGAGCCTGGAGTTCTGGGGTTGGGCCGGGGCTGTGATGGAAGGCATAACAATAAAGCTGGACCAGTTATAAATCCAAACTTCCTAATCTCTTGCACGTGTCAATCCCGCTACAGTGCAGATGCATTCTTGTTTTGTCTGTGTCAGATTTACATGCATACCATATTGCTTACTCTGTATTAGAGAAACCATTAGGCATTTCTGATGAGGAAATTACATGGTGGACTGGCCTTAATGGAATTTGGAATATAGGAAATCATCACATCACCATTGGCATCCAACGCGTCATTATTGCCAACATACCTAGCAGGCATGTCCAGGAGACTTGCCCTTTTATGGGTTGATTTTTGGTTAAGGACTCACCTATCTGGTATCTGCCACGCTCAGCACACACCTCACAAGATTCCTTGAGTGGAAGACTGTGGCATGGAGCCATGTGCAAAAGAACCAACAGAAAAATACCTTCCTAAATCCTCTTGCTCTTGCAGGGCACTATTGGACATCCAACTTTATCCTCCGGAACGTTGGCCATTAACTATGTTTCCCTATAGATAAAACATTAATGGAAGGTTTTAAACATCGGATTCAATACTAGGCATTTTCTTGTACACGCGTCTATTGCTGCAGGAATTTAAAACCCTGGGGGCAGAGTACATTTTATTCTTATTTGCAGCATAAGGCATAACATGCTCCGAAATATACACATCGCTGTGGCCTCTACTGTCCCTGGAACAGTATGATGCCGTCGACCTCAAGGACGATCGGAGATAGCTGTCATTCACTGCCTGGGATGGCAGAGAGTGTTTATAAGGGTCCGAGGGGCACCTCCCAATAACTAAGCGTTGGTCATCCCCATAGGAGTGGAGGAAAGGGTTATCGGAGGTGTGGTCTGGCAAGAGAGACTTGCTCCGTTTGCTGACCTCCAGACCCTGGGGGAAAAGGGAGCCTTTGTTCCCCGAGAGTTTGCTGGCGGGGACACTAAAGAGACTCCCGTACAAGTTTCCCTCCAGAAGCCGCTCCCTGTCCTTGAGGCTTATGCTCCGGGAGGGCCTGCTAAGGTCCAACTCCCTGGGTTTGTCGAGGATGTTATCGTAGGAATGCTGCCGGCTAATCCTCAGCTTGTTCTTTTGGAACTGGAGGGCGCTGCTCTGTGCCCAGTCCTGCTGGTAGACCTCCTCCTGGGTAGCTGGGTTACCTGTCTCCTGAAGCATCTGGTCTTCGTCAATGTCATAGAGGTTCCCCATCCGTAGGCAGGAGTCGCATTTGAAGGGGGACCTCATGGTGAAGTGGCCTGAATAGGTGGGCAGGTTGGACAGGCAGCTCCTGCAGTGCGTGGAGTTCTGCCGGTACCGGTCGCTGCCCTCGCTGTGAGGGGAACTCTTGTCTTTCAAGGTGAAGTGCTTGGAGTAGAGTTTATACTGGTCATTGTTGGGGAGCCCATCTTCATCGTGCAGGGGACTCCTGTTCATGGGCAGTGTGGAGTCCCCCTTGCGGAAACTGTCACTATGGTCCTGGTAGACATTGGAGAAGTCCACGTTCTCGGGAAGGGCCACGTTTTCGACAAACTGGGGAGGATCGAGGTGGAAACTGGCCTCCCTCTCCCCATCAATGGTGTAGATCTTGTCCCTGGGGGAGCTCACTTTGGTTTTCAGGTAGGAGCGCTCGACCTCGCTGCAGTCCTTGGGGTACTTGGAGGCCACTGACCTTTTGAAGTTGTCCTTGGCCTTGTGGTTCTTACTGTTGTCAGGCTCCCGGTGGCACGTGGCCCGGCTCGAAGTTTCTGAGATGTCCGAGTGGGCCACCTCTTCTGGAAGGTACCTAGGACTCTTTAGGGAGTAGCTCCTGTTCTCCACGGTTCCCTCATCCCTCTGGGAGACTGGGTTCTGGGTCAGCGAATCTTGGCGTAGAGATTCCATGGATTTCTTCCAAAGCTGCCGGGGCCTGGAGTTCCCTTTGGATTCCGTGCTCACGGCCACCTCCACTGTGTTAGGGTTAGACTCATTGAGAGTCAGAGGGTGCTGGCCCTGGAACACATAGTTGTTGAGGTTATCCTTGTGCCTGTTGGCCATGAAGGTTTGCAGTTCATTCATGTTGTCCCCAAAAATGCTCTCTTTCCCCTGAAAGGACTTGTTGTCTGAATATACCAAGTTTCCCTTATCTGAAACCATGTCCATGATGAGGGATCCTCTTTGAATGAAGTCAGCAGCTCTTTTGGGGGAATCCATTCTTGAGGAGTTCACGTTGGACAAGTTGGAAATGTTTTTGGCTGACCGAAGGAGTTTTAACATGTTGCTCTGGGATCCGGTCAGATTGAAGTCTGGAGACTTCTTCTTTTCTTCAATGTGCACCCCGTGAATGCAGCTGTAAATGCCCTGTGGGGAGGAGCACAAAACACCATCCTCAGCAGCAAGGACATGAAACCATTTCACACCTGAACTGTACCTGCAAAGGTGAGACATGACCTTCTTATAGGAGTCCTGGAGAAACAGTGAAATCCAATCTGAATCCTGATAATGCTTCCTGAATGTATGAGACCAGTGGCAAAGCATCAGGCGTATCTTGTCGCTCTGGCACAAGATATCAAGATTATCTGACACTTTTGCCAATAGTCATACATAGAGTTTGAGAAAAAATATCCACTAATCCTCAAAGAACTCTAAGGGTCTCAGCACCTCCAAACTGGCGTGTAAGGATTTGGTTGACCCTCCCAACACCCCAGTCACCAACCCTTACTTTTATTAAAGTTTCCCAGGATCATCTTTGGACTTTGGATACCAGAGAGTCAGCTATTGACAAACAAACTGAGTCAGCATACAAGGATCACCAATCATTGATTCCTCTGGGGAATTACTGCTACCCCTACACTGAAGCCATCAATTAAAGCATGAGACCCAATATTTATCTGAAGGAAATAAAAACACTAAAAAAAATACATGCACCCCAATGTTCATCACACCATTATTTACAGTAGCCAAGATATGGAAGCAACTGAAGTGTCCATTGATAGAGGAATAGAAAAGAAGATGTGGTATGTACACACAGACACACACAGACACACACTGGAATAGTACTCAGCCATAAAAAAGAATGAAATCTTGCCATTTGTGACAACATAGATGGACCTAGAGGGTATTATGCTGAGATAAGTCAGACAGAGAAAGACAAATGCCATTTGATTTCACTTATATGTGGAATCTAAAACCAAAACAAATGAACAGCCACAACAAAACAAAACCAGATTCAACAGAAACAGAGAACAAACTGGTAGTGGCCAAAGGGGAGGGGGTTAGACAGATGGGTGAAACCGGTGAAGGGGATTAAGAGGTAAAATCTTCAGCTTTAAGATAAATAAGTCATGGGAATATAATGTACAGTATAGAATATATAGTCAATAATATTCTAATAATTTTGTATGTGATAGATGGTAACTAAAGTTATTATGGTGATTATTTCATAATGTATAAAAATACTGAGTCACTATGTAGTACACCTGATATACAATATTGTAAGCCAATTATACTTCAAGTTAAAACCTCTGGAACAGTCTCTCCCAGCTCCACCCCCCCAACAAAAAGAAGAAGAAGACCTGAGACCCATGTGTGGTCAATCAGACATTTTTTGGAGGAATAGACATAGATGGTGGGATAAAGAAACATCATATGGTTTGAACCCCTGGAGCTCCCTTCTTGGACTTTTCACTTACCCGCTCAATATATATATATATTCTTTGTGTTTTGGCTGTGTGAGAATTTGTTGAGCATAGTTAGAGTTTTAGTTACTAAGAAGAGTGGAGAGTCCTGATGACGCGGTGATGCTGCATTTAAATCCATCCAGGGAACTGAATGACTGAGGGACTCGGGGGTAGCTCAGATATAAGCACCCCATCCATACATCTCTTGTTTTCCACTCCACCTTCTTCCTGTCTTAAAAATAACTGTTGGGCTTCCCTGGTGGCGCAGTGGTTGAGAGTCCGCCTGCCGATACAGGGGACACGGGTTCGTGACCCGGTCCGGGAAGATCCCACATGCCGCGGAGCAGCTGGGCCCGTGAGCCATGGCCGCTGAGCCTGCGCGTCCAGAGCCTGTGCTCCGCAGCGGGAGAGGCCACAGCAGTGAGAGGCCCGCGTATCGCAAAAAAACCCCACAAAAAACCAAAACTGTTTACTTTTCCTTGAAAGTACCTCAGGGGCAGAGCTCTCGATTCATTCTACAATAACAGGCAAAAGAGCGTCAGTGGTGTTGTGATTCGTGCTCCTCCCTTCCCCACTCCTGCCCCCAGATTTTGGCCGCGGTACCTAAAGGGAACAATTCGGTCCAGGCTGCAGGATTTGACCTGGTCCTCCCAAGACTGACAGGGAGCCGGCCCAAGAAGGGGTTTGTTTGTAAAAGGGATGCGGTAGCTGCTGCTGACTTTGGCATAAACTAGTGGGGACTATGGGTTGGTAACTCTGGACTCTTACAGCGGCTCCATCAATTCCCCATGGTGGGGATGCACTGAACCTGCAGGGACGCTCACAGAACTGTGACAGCCTCAACCTGTTTGCACTGCTGCGTTTTTCTTGTAGTTTTCTAGAGACAGTCTCCACTCCGTCGAGGAACAGTAAACAGAAAAGCCTACAGTTGTACATTTGAGCTTCTCTTTCTCTGACCCCCTTCAACCCCAGGCTGCACGGTGAAGGCTCCCTGAGGCCAAGGCCCTGGCATCGGGCACTTCCCACCTGCTGCAGCCTTACCTTTAGTCTCTTTCTCGATGCTGTGTGGTCTCCTTCCCTGTTCCCTCCCAGGAAGCAGTGCCTCCTCTTTGCTTCCAGGGCTGCTGGACGTCAAAATCATACACACACACCATGTATTTCACATAGCACCGTGCTTTTGAATCTTTTATGTTAACGTATGCCTTCCCTGTCCAATTGAGTAATGTAATAATCTCCTACAGTGACCTAGAGGGATTCTGCTACTATGGGTGGAAATCAGTGTGTCTCCTACACGTTTGAACCAGCCAAGATCATAGCCTTTTTTTCCTGTTGCTAGCATTACAAAAACACTAGTTTTTAAATTTTTTCTAACTTTGCAATTTTATTTTAATGAGCTCCCCTCCTCCTTTTAGAGACTCTGAGAACTTGCTTCTACCCTTCGCCATCAGGGCAGTGTGCTCTCGCCCGCCAAGATGAGCTGGTCGTCTCTGTATTTGCAGGAGGCCCACAGAAGTGGCCAGGGAGCTGCGCTATGTTTCAGGAGCAGAGAGGATGGCTGCTGACTGCTTTTTCTCATCCCTGGTTTCCGCTGGGACTCACACAACACAGCTAAGGCAGTTCCCAGGTGCTGATCTGCCTGGCAAAGCTTCGGGAAGGAGTCAACGTGGTGCCTGTACCCCAGGTTTGGATGAAAGTGTTCACCAACTAAGTTGACCTATCTTCCAGATGCGCTGGTGAGGAAGTGGGATGTGTATTACAGAAGGATGGGAAGAGCCAGAGACCTGGAACCCACTGGAAATGAGCCCCAGCTCCATCCTTTTTTAACTCTGTGACCTTGGCTGAGCAACTACATCTTTTTGGGCCTCAAGTTCCACATCTGTAAGATGGGAATCATACACTCCAAGGTGGGTACAAGGGCAAGACCTGATAATGCAAGCAAAGCACCTGACATGGAAGGGGCTCCAAAAATGCTAGTGGGTGAGCTGCTCAGTCATCCCCGATGTGCCCTCCCTGTTTGTCACCTCACCTCTCTCTCCTCACACTAGTACAAGCACACAGCGCCCGTTTGATCGAAGCTGGAGGTTTGCTCTGGAAAGCCACTGCGGCTTTCTAATTAGATAAGTTGCCTAAATCCTACCTCGGGAGCCAAATCCCTGGGCTGGAGTTTCTTTCTTCCTTGCAGAGTTCTTTCTTTCCTCCTCTCTATTATTCATAGATTCCGGCTACCTTTTATGGGTTGTGGAAATAAGATGCCCTCTCGGCCCTATAATGGGCTCAGATGAAATTAGCGTTGAAGACTCAATGTGCCGTTCCAGACAGCTTGCTCTGTTCCACTCCCCGCCCCCTTTCTCACTGGGGCGATACTGTCCTCCTTGGTTCCCTGGTGCCTGGGCCTGATCCCCAAAGTGTCTGCTATGGTCTGCATGTTTGTGTACCCCACCTCCCAATTCATATGCGGAGAGCTTAGTCCCAGAGGTGATGGTATCAGTGGTAGGTAAGTGCTTATGTCATGAGGTCCAAGATGGGGCCTTTGGGAGGAGCCCTCCTGAATGCGATAAGCGCTCTTATAAAAGAGACCCCACAGAGCTCCCTCATCCCTTCAACACAAGGGGAAATCTGCAGCCCGGAAGAGGGTCCTCACCCGACCACGCTGGCACCCTGATCTCGGACTTCCAGCCCCCAGAACTGTAAGCAATACATTTCTATTGTGGATGAAGCACCCAGTCTGTGGCATTGTGTTATAGCAGCCCGAATGCACTAAGACAGTATCTGACTTCCATTCTGCTGGGCTCCACTGTGGGTCAGCCAGAAGCTGTGCAAGCTCTCCTCTGGGCTCGTTGGGAAGATGCCACGGTTTCCACCTCCCTGGCCTCTGGCTTTGCTACATCTCCCATTCCTCACGTCTCTGGAGACAACCGAGGTGGTTCTTTTTTACTGGTGACAGTGAATATTTTTTTCAACATGAAAGGGACAGCATTGCGGAGAGAAGACAAAAGTTAAGAGCATCCCACAGAAGAGAGGACGCATTTCTGTAAGTCGTAATAAACAAAGGCCACAGCTGTGGGAGAAACTTGGTTCTAATGTAAAATAAATGACTCTGTGAACTCTGACCTTCACCCTTGGCCGTGCCAGGAGGGCAGGCATCTGAGGTTTGCATTTGTGTCCCATGGGACATGGGGTCCTCTCTCCTCTAGGGAGGGGGAGACAGAAGTTCCAGTTCCAGCTTGTCAAGGCACAACACAGCAATGCTGTGCCCAGTCCCCACTTTACCCCCGTCCCTCAAGATGCTTGGAATGGGAGTGAGGGATTTAGTCCATTTCTCATAGTGACAATCCTATTAACTTGGCTTCTTTAATGGTATCTCGGACAGAGGGAACACTCTTGCAAAAACAAGCAGGATTTACGAGTAAAGGCAATAGTGTGCATTTGCTCATGGCAGTCTCAGAATCATTTGGATATGGAAAGCCTCTAGTAACTGGTGAAGAGAATTAGCTTAAAGTTGGCTTAATACCTAGCTGTATGCATGCACGCTGTTATTCTTAAGCAATCTGTGTGTTTAGAGGCCATCAAGCTAATTAGGCAATATGTATTTGCATAGAACTCAAGTTTAGAGTGCCACTGAATGGAGAAAATAAATCCTCCTGGCTAAGCCCATGTGTACCTTCTGGATGTCTTAAAACCACCAAATACTAAGAATACACAAGCTCCTCTTTAGATGATTATTTCATTTTCCCAATGAACATTAGCATATAAAATTAGATGTTTCTAACCACATATTTTTCACCATGTTTCAAATCCTAATATGTTAAACTCTTTCAGAGTAAAAAAATTCCAAGGTGAGTAAACGGAAGAAATAGGTAGATAAATAGATGGATGGATAGATGGACAGATGGATAGATGAATGGATGGATGGATGACTGATTGACTGATTGCCAGGTGGATAGATAATGTTATACTGTGTTGGAAGACAAGTGAGCGATATGTACGTATGTGCTTTTATTGTGATGCAAGTAAGTGAGTAGCTTGTATTTAAAAAGTAAAAATAGGGCTTCCCTGGTGGCGCAGTGGTTGAGAGTCCGCCTGCCGATGCAGGGGACACGGGTTCGTGCCCCGGTCCGGGAAGATCCCACATGCCGCGGAGCGGCTGGGCCCGTGAGCCATGGCCGCTGAGCCTGCGCGTCCGGAGCCTGCGCTCCGCAACGGGAGAGGCCACAACGGTAAGAGGCCCACGTACCGCAAAAAAAAAAAAAAAAAAAAAAGTAAAAATATATATTATATGAGTTGTGTGCACATACACGTTGTGTAGTATGATTTGTATCAAATCTCTTGTGTTGCTTGTATTTGATGTTCGTTGCTTGTGTAAGAGTGTGGACTCTGGCTGCTACCACACCACCTGGAGTCAAATCCTGGCTCCAGCAAGGCTGTGTGGTGTTGGGTAATTCCTCTAACCTCATAAATTTGAGTTTCCCCAATTCTGGGCCAATATCAGAACCTACCTCACAGAATTGGTTTGTAGGTTAAATGAAATGATGAGTATAAATTCCTTATCTGGTGCCAGGGACATACATATACCTACAAATATAAGCATTTTCCACAGTCGTCATCGTTATTGATGAATTATGACACGTGTACCTGTTTATGGCCACACACACGCCATATTGTGTAGCACGTAGTGAGGTTTCCGTGGCTCGAACGTGAGTGCACTTACTACAGCGTGTGTATTCTGTGCTGTGGTTTATGTCGTGCTGAATGTATATTTTGTTTCCTGTTTGATGTGTGTGCATTTTCTCGTGGTTCTTCATGCCTGTGTTTCACTTCAGGCTCTGTTACATCGTACACGCTTTTGTGGTTAGTTAGCTGCGTTCACACACACAACATGGCTTTGCATGTAGATTTCGTTTTGTCACACGTGATCTGTTGGAATGCATGCAAACATCATAACATCCTACACAGGAATTTTAATAATGTCCTAGAGCATATCTGGGTGCTCATGAGGGAGGCCACAGACTGGCTGTGTTTGGTCCGTGTGTTTTTCTATTTGTCAAGGGAATTAGTTACTAGTATTCAAAAGCTGAAAGTTTTCACATATAATCAGATGACTGCTTTCTCTTTTAAAAACTGGAAGACCTGATAAGACTGGCTCTGCCTTCCGCTAAAACCATACTCAGCAGGAGTGGAGGACGACTGCCCCCTTTGGGTGTGGTGGGTTTTACGCAATGTGTCTTAGTTCTCCACATTCTCCATTGTTCCCTCCCTTTGACACCAGGGTTCAGCTGCTATTTTTAGTTTCACTTCTGCTCTTTTTCTCACGCCCGGCCTGCCTTACCTATTCACCTTCATCTCTAGCTTGCATCTGGCTTATGAACACAGAAACTGGTGCCCTTCCGACAAATCCAAGAAGGGTTAATGGGTGAGGGGAGGGTGTGGAGACACCACACCCCCACCCAGGAGTCAAGAATCCCTGATTCTCTGGAAGCCCTGTGCTTTTCTGGACCTGCCTGCCTCAGAGGGAAGTAGCCGCCAGGGGTACTGACCCTGCTGATGGAGAAGAGCAGGCCCGGCCGGTCGGAGCACACGCCCGTGAAGCAGAAGCGCAGCTTCCAGTAGAAGAGGTGTTCCCAGATGAAGGTGATGAGGCTGAGGGCCATGGCGGCCGCCAGCATGTAGAACACACCCGCCATGTTGTCGACGTCCAGCTGGCTGCTCATCACCTCGTTCTTCTCGTTGTGGCAGATCCCCGTGAGCCACAGGGTCTCCAGCTCTTCCATCTCCCCTGGACAGAAGACAAGAGCCACAGGCAGTAAGGAGCAGGGCACGCACTGTGGGGCGGACACGCCTGCGTTCGGGACAGACACGTGTGATTTATAGCTGTGCAACCTCAGTGAGGGTGACTGAGCTCTCCTGGTCTGCGTTCCCTCACTTGCGGGGTGAAGATAATGATGACAACAGCATCTATGTAATATCGCTGTAGGAGGATGAAGTGAGATCATGTATAGAGAGAATCTGGCTCAGGCCCTGCCTTTTTTTTCTTGGTCATCATTACTATGCTCTCCCCACCCCTCTTTTCTCTATCCCCGGCCCCAACACCCACCCAAGCCTGGAACAGGACATGGGATAAGCTGGCCGAAGCCTACATTAGAAAGACTCGCGTTCCCATTCTGACTTTGTCATAGACTAGCTGTGTGACTTCAGAGCCACAGTGATCCTGTCTGTGAAATGGGTATTATAATAGTGTATACTCCCTCGAGTTCTAGGGAGGATATGAGCTCACATATGCAAAATTCCTAAACGTAGTGCCTGGCTCATGGTAAGTTCTCCTAAATAGGAACCTTCATGGGTTGCTGTAAAGGAAGTGCCTAGCACACTGCCTGGTACACAGTTGTCCTCAAATATATTTGTTTCTTCTTTCCTCTTCCTTTAGAACATCCAATATTATTCCAAAAAGTCACCCCAAGTAGTGCGCTTAGAGCACAAAGTGTTCCTTGACAAGAAATATCCCAGTCGGCTCTGAATGGCCCCTTGCAAACTAAACACCTCCCCACTTCAGTAGGCAGCTAAAGAAGCCGGTGGGGTTTGCAATGGAAGAAAAAAGTAGGCACGGTTGACATTATTATGTCTCTCTTTTATGCACATTTTATCCAGTTGTCATTTAGGAGGAAATTCTCTAGTCTAAATGTCTAGTAATTATACTAACTGTCTAGCAATTCACTAGACTATGATTCAGGTCTTTAAAAATTATCCTTCGAAAACAGTGAAAATCAAGGAAGATGCATAGAATGTTAAATGAATAGTATGACTACATTGTATATACATACGATCTCTAAGACATAAAAGATGTATGGGATTAAGAACTATAAACTACTCTGCATAAAATATATAAACAACAAGGATATATTGTACAGCACAGGGAAATATAGCCATTATTTTGTAATAACTTTAGGTGGCGTATAATCCATAAAAATATTGAATTATTATGTTGTACCATTTAAACTAATATAATATTGTAAATCAACTATACTTCAATAAAGAACACTTGCAGAGGCATGCAGCGGGCGTGGTCTGGAGCTGGGAAGTCACAGCCGCCGCCACCGCTGCCACCGTGATGTGCGCAGGTCCTCACCCGGGTGTTCATACCGCAGCCTGTCAGGCGACCGGTGTTGTGGCCACTGCAGCCGCCCGCAGGACCCTTGGGCGCGGAGTATGTGCCACCTTGGCACCTAGTCCCTGAGGCAGGGACGTCCTGGCCCAGAAAAGAACGCTGTTTAGGTGTGAGCCTAACCACCTAAGTGAGGGCACTAAAGCTGCCTGGGGAAGGGCAAGGCCCGCGTTGCCGAGCTTGGGCTCGGGGCCCTGGATTTGTTTGGGTTAGCGGAGATTATAAAACAGCAAACACTGGTGAGGATAGAGACCAATGCTGGCAGGAATACAGGGAAAGAAAAAATCCCATGCTCAGTTGCTGGAGAAATAGGAAAAGGGAGGCATGAAGACAGTTAGAAACTTGTCCTAAGCCAGTTAGCTCAAAAGTGGAAGAGCTAGGATTCAAATCCAGAGAAGTGTCCACTTCAGACTTCATTCTGGGAGAAAGTAGCGTAATTTACAAAAGGAGAAATGAGACAACACATCCTTTCCTAGAAGAGCATTTACCAATTCCCAGTCTGTGGTGATTAACTGCTTGCAGGATCTTGGTTCCCAGGCCAGAGGTTGGGCCCGAGCTCCTGTGGTGGGAGCTCCGAGTCCAAACCGCTGGACTAACAGAGAACCTCAGACTCCAGGGAATATCAACTGGAGTGAGGCCTCCCAGAGGTCTTCATCTCAGCACCAAGACCCAGCTCTATCCAACTGCCTGCAAACTCCAGTGCTGGACGGCTCAGGCCAAACAACCAGTAAAACAGGAATATAGCACCACACATCAAAAAAAAAAAAAAGAAAAAAGAAAAAGAAACGACAAAAAAAAATGTTACAGACGAAGGAGCAAGGTAAAAACCTACAAGACCAAATCAATGAAGACAAAATAGGCAACCCACCTGAAAAAGAATTCAGAGTAATTATAGTAAAGATGATCCAAAATCTCGGAAACAGAATGGAGAAAATACAAGAAACATTTAACAAGGATCTAGAAGAACTAAAGAGCAAACAAACAGTGATGAACAACACAATTACTGAAATTAAAAATACTCTACAAGGGGGCTTCCCGGGTGGCGCAGTGGTTGAGAGTCCGCCTGCCAATGCAGGGGACACGGGTTCGTGCCCCGGTCTGGGAAGATCCCACAAGATGCAGAGCAGCTGGGCCTGTGAGCCATGGCCGCTGAGCCTGTGCGTCCGGAGCCTGTGCTCCACAACAGGAGAGGCCACAACAGTGAGAAGCCCGCGTACCGCAAAAAAAAAAAAAAAATACTCTACAAGGAATCAATAACAGAATAACTAAGGCAGAAGAATGGATAAGTGAGCTGGAAGATAAAATGGTGGAAATAACTGCCAGGGAGCAGAATAAAGAAAAAAGAATGAAAAGAATTGAGGACAGTCTCAGAGACCTCTGGGACAACACTGAACGCACCAACATTCGAATTATAGGGGTCCCAGAAGAAGAGAAAATGAAAGGGTCTGAGAAAATATTTGAAGAGATTATAGTCGAAAACTTCCCTAACATGGGAAAGGAAATAGTCAATCAAGTCCAGGAAGCACAGAGAGTACCATACAGGATAAACCCAAAGAGAAACATGCCAAGACACATATTAATCAAACTATCAAAAATTAAAAACTAGGAAAAAATGTTAAAAGCAACAAATAACATACAAGGGAATCCCCATAAGGTCAACAGCTGATTTTTCAGCAGAAACTCTGCAAGCCAGAAGGGAGTGGAAGGACATATTTACAGTGATGAAAGGCAAAAACCTACAACCAAGATTAGTCTACCCAGCAAGGATCTCATTCAGATTCAATGGAGAAATTAAAAGCTTTACAGGTAAGCAAAAGTTAAGAGAATTCAGCACCACCAAACCAGCTTTACAACAAATGCTAAAGGAACTTCTCTAGGCAGGAAACACAAGAGAAGGAAAAGACCTACAAAAACAAACCCAAAACAAATAAGAAAATGGTAACAGGAACATACATATCGATAATTACCTTAAATGTAAATGGATTAAATGCTCCAACCAGAAGACATAGACTGGCTGAATGGATACAAAAACAAGACCCGTACAAATGCTGTCTACAAGAGACCCACTTCAGACCTAGAGACACATACAGACTGAAAGTAAGGGGATGGAAAAAGATATTCCATACAAATGGAAATCAAAAGAAAGTTGGAGTAGCAATTCTCATATCAGACAAAATAAACTTTAAAATAAAGACTATTACAAGAGACAAAGAAGGACACTACATAATGATCAAGGGATCAATCCAAGAAGAAGGTATAACAATTGTAAATATTTATGCACCCAACATAGGAGTACCTCAATACATAAGGCAAATGCTAAAAGCCTTAAAGGGGAAATCAACAGTAACACAATAATAGTAGGGGACTTTAACACCCCACTTTCACCAATGGACTGATCATCCAAAATGAAAATAAATAAGGAAACACAAGCTTTAAATGACACGTTAAACAAGATGGACTTAACTGATATTTATAGGACATTCCAACCAAAAACAACAGAATACACTTTCTTCTCAAGTGCTCGTGGAACATTCTCGAGGATAGACCATATCTTGGGTCACCAATCAAGCCTTGGTAAATTTAATAAAATTGAAATCATATCAAGTATCTTTTCCAACCACAACGCTATGAGACTAGGTATCAATTACAGGAAAAAAAAACAGTAAAAAATAGAAACATATGGAGGTTAAACAATTCAGTACTAAATAGCCAAGAGATCACTGAAGAAATCAAAGAGGAAATCAAAAAATACCTAGGAACAAATGACAATGAAAATACAATGACCCAAAACCTATGGGATGCAGCAAAAGCAGTTCTAAGAAGGGAGTTTACAGCAATACAATCCTACCTCAAGAAACAAGAAAAATCTCAAATAAACAACCTAAACTTACACCTAAAGCAATCAGAGAAAGAAGAAAAAAAGAACCCCAAACTTAGCAGAAGGAAAGAAATCAAAAAGATCAGATCAGAAATAAATGAAAAAGAAATGAAGGAAATGATAGCAAAGAACAATAACACTAAAAGCTGGTTCTTTGAGAAGATAAACAAAATTGATAAACCATTAGCCAGAGTCATCAAGAAATAAAGGGAGAAGACTCAAATCAATAGAATTAGAAATAAAAGAGAAGTAACAACTGACACTGCAGAAATACAAAGGATCATGAGAGATTACTACAAGCAGCTATATGCCAATAAAATCGACAACCTGGAAGAAATGGACAAATTCTTAGAAAAGCACAACCTTCTGAGACTGAACCAGGAAGAAATAGAAAATATAAGCAGACCAATCACAAGCACTGAAATTGAAACTGTGATTAAAAATCTTCCAACAAACAGAAGCCCAGGACCAGATGGCTTCACAGGTAAATTCTGTCAAACATTTAGAGAAGAGCTAACATCTATCCTTCTCAAACTCTTCCAAAATATAGCAGAGGGAGGAACACTCCCAAACTCATTCTACGAGGCCACCATCACCCTGATAGCAAAACCAGATAAAGATATCACAAAGAAAGAAAACTACAGGCCAATATCACTGATGAACATAGATGCAAAAATCCTCAACAAAATACTAGCAAACAGAATCCAACTGCACATTAAAAGGATATTACATCATGATC